CACACACTCTCTAGGCAGAAAGAATATTCGCAATCGCACAGACGTGCCTGTAGAGGTCTTGATATCCACCACACTATACTGGGTCACGTAGGGGCTTAGCACCCCCATTTTCTTCTGACGCGTAAGGCCGAACAAGAGGTCACGTGATGGCAATTCTGGTCGCCGGCTGCGGTTGCCGCAACCAGCATCCGACGCTCGATCTCGCGTTGCCAGCCAGAATCCGCCCACACACCGACGCTTAACCTTCGGCCTCTCGCATCAGTGTGCATGTACGCTCCGATGCAAGCCTATATTAGTCTGGTCTGACCACAACCCGTCCAATGAGATGCCTTCCTTAGTAGGTTAGCCTCAATTAGTAGGCTGGCCTCAATCAGTAGGTAACCTTCAATCCGTATGGTCATTGGCTGTGAAGGCCAAGTCACAAGGGCCTTAATGCGGTGATTGTCGTCAGGCCGGCACTTTGGACCAAACCGCTGTAGCGGATGGACATGCGGTCCGACAGTCACATCTCCTATTGCCTACTCTCCATTCCATCTGTACAGAATAACCTGTTTCTACCACTCTGCCCTTACCATGACTTATCTTCTCACAAGGAACAGGAACTGAAGATTGTGGTGACAAGACTTTATTCTATTAACGTTAATTCCTCGATAGTCGCTTTACTGGAAGCGTTTCCTATTATCTTTCACCTCTGAAAAGTTGTGTACTTCTTTTTAAAAATGTCTAACCTTTTTCCGTTGATGCTACCCTGTGGCAATCAATGCCCTCTCCCACCCCCCTTCGGAGTCCTTTTTTTCTGGATAACGGTTAGTTGCGACAAACTGGATACCACAGGTGGGTCATACAACTACTCATTTCTATCCGCTTGAAGATTACCGCACAGTGTTACATTTTCGACAGGAAAAAAACGTATTCTCGTTTATGCAAATGCTTAAACTTACGAAGAGATACGTGAACTCTCGCAGTCTGAGGGTTCGTTTGCTGCATCAGCTAGGAGTCCCATGGCTTTAGAAAATTCTCCGAAATCGGACACTGAAAAAATGAGGTTTCCGAGTTTGGCTTCGGTATTTTCAAGCTCATCCTCCGTGCCCGCACGTCGTTCGATGGTGTCTGCAATCGGCTTCCTCTTGTCTGTGTTTCAGATTGGAAGTACAAAAAATAAGTGTCACTGTTATCATTACAGTAGATAGTTAGGTGTAAAACGTGGTGGCCATTTTTGACATCAACAGTCTGCCGTGCTCCATCTCCCAGCAGGAGCTATTTAGTGAGCATTAATTCACTCAACCGCCGGCTCGCCTTTTATCAGTTGCAATAGGGAATATTAAAAAGGACCTAGATATAACAGTAACTGGTTCATGCTGACAACAAAACGGAACGGGGGTAGTACCATTTTGTCTTTTTATCTGTGGCCCGTAGCCCACTGACTAGCACTAAACGCCGGAAAAGTGTGACCGACAAGGAGA